ACTCGTTTTTTCTGTCATTTGCCGTGTGGAATGAACCATGCCGCTGCTGCATTGTAAGTACTGTACCGGGCTATGTATGCGTTTGTGTTTGCGGTCTGGTGTCCGGAAGTACGGGTTGGATGAATTTGAAAGGACATAGCCAGTAATCAGCAATATTTTGCAACCTTTGATCAGTGTTTTGCAATGATGTACCATTGACGGGGATCTGAGCCATCCATTTGTAATATATGTGAAAGTCAGTAGGCGTTTTGTCGCGGCTTCGGGTGGCCAGTCCGCTCCGACAGCGCGGTCTGCCGGGCCCGCACTGCTCAAGGTGAGAGCCGCTCCGACAGCGCGGTCTGCCGGGCCCGCACTGCTCAAGGTGAGAGCCGCCCCGACAGCGCGGTCTGCCGGGCCCGCACTGCTCAAGGTGAGAGCCGCTCCGACAGCGCGGTCTGCCGGGCCCGCACTGCTCAAGTGAGAGCCGCCCGACAGCGCGGTCTGCGGGCCCGCACCGCTCAAGGTGAGAGCCGCTCCGACAGCGCGGTCTGCCGGGCCCGCACTGCTCAAGGTGAGAGCCGCTCCCGCTCCGACAGCGCGGTCTGCCGGGCCCGCACTGCTCAAGGTGAGAGCCGCTCCGACAGCGCGGTCTGCCGGGCCCGTACTGCTCATGAGAGCCGCTCCGACAGCGCGGTCTGCCGGGCCCGCACTGCTCAAGGTGAGAGCCGCTCCGACAGCGCGGTCTGTCGGGCCCACTGCTCAAGGTGAGAGCCGCCCCGACAGCGCGGTCTGCCGGGCCCGCACTGCTCAAGGTGAGAGCCGCTCCGACAGCGCGGTCTGCCGGGCCCGCACTGCTCAAGGTGAGAGCCGCTCCGACAGCGCGGTCTGCCGGGCCTGTACTGCTCAAGGTGAGAGCCGCTTCGACAGCGCGATCTGCCGGGCCCGCACCGCGCAAGGTGAGAGCCGCTCCGACAGCGCGGTCTGCCGGGCCCGTACTGCTCAAGGTGAGAGCCGCTCCGACAGCGCGGTCTGCCGGGCCCGCACCGCGCAAGGTGAGAGCCGCTCCGACAGCGCGGTCTGCCGGGCCCGTACTGCTCCAGGTGAGAGCCGCTCCGACAGCGCGGTCTGTGCCTGCACTGCGCAAGGTGGAGCCGCTCCACAGCGCGGTCTGCCGGCCCGTACTGCTCCATGTGAGAGCCGCCCCGACAGCGCGTCTGCCGGGCCTACTGCTCCATGGAGAGCCGCTCCGACAGCGCGGTCTGCCGGGCCCGTACTGCTCCATGTGAGAGCCGCCCCGACAGCGCGGTCTGCCGGGCCCGTACTGCTCTATGTGAGAGCCGCTCCGACAGCGCGGTCCGCCGGGCCTGCACTGCTCAAGGTGAGAGCCGCTGCGACCGCTCGGTCTGCCGGGCCCGCACTGCTCAAGGTGAGAGACGGCTATTTCTTCCTGCTCTTCCGTAGGCAGAACTGCAGGCTCCGGTTTCGTTCTCAGCAGCTCTGGAATGAGCACCTGGTGCTGTGCAATATGCGAATGAAGCATACGGCGGACTCACATTTCACAAGCAAAAAGCATGATTCAAATAATATTTGACTTAGCGGGACTGTGTGCATAATTTCTAAAGCGATAGCATGCCCTCTTGGCGGTCGAGGTACCCGGAGGATATGCAGGATTATCCGGATTTGCTTCCGTACACTCCTCAGTTCTCCCTGGGTGGCTCTGTTGGCCGGGCGTCACCAAAAGAGCCCGGCTAAGTAGGCTGGGGGTGGGTTCGGTTTGCAGCGCCATGTGTCTTGTTGGAACCGCCTTTGGCAGGCCGCTCGCTCACTATCGCCCCTGTCCTCGCCCGCAGCAACTGTTTCAGGCGTATTGTCGCTTCACTCTGACAAACGCTTTCGCTGTCAACGGCTTGGAATGTCCGACATATTGCTGTACCATGCCGTAAACTAACTAGCGTAACTTGCCCATCGTAACCTCAACGGCGATAATGTCTGGCGTGGGGCTGAGGATACCTGCGGTGAAGGGAACACCCATGGCCATATGTTGTACATAAGCACGCTGCAGGTAGTCGGTCATGAAGGCCATGAACATGACATGAAGCATCTGGTGACGGTCTGATGTGGCAGCATAGCATGCACTGGAGGCTTCGGAGAAAGGGAACACTCAGACACGGTTCTGATCTCAGTTTCCGTCAGAAGACGAAAGCTAAGGTGGATCACCGATAACTCAGAATATCATCGACTTTGCTCATAGCCTGAAACGGTGCAGATCACCACTTTAGCCCCGCCGGGTGTCGCCGCAGGGGCACAGTACCGGCAGCGCGTCACTGGTCTGTGTCCACCCGCCACCAGGCGTGTGACTGAATCTGCCGGGTGTCGCCGCAGGGGCACAGTACCGGCAGCGCGTCACTGGTCTGTGTCCACCCGCCACCAGACGTGTGACTCAATCTGCCGGGTGTCGCCGCAGGGGCACAGTACCGGCAGCGCGTCACTGGTCTGTGTCCACCCGCCACCAGACGTGTGACTGAACGGGAAAAATGTATAAGCTGTATTTAAACTGCCGTGTTCAGAGAGCATTTCACAGTGGCACAAATAAGGTTTGACAGTTCCTTGTCTCAGCGAAATGTGCCGCAAGACAACGGCGAAACAAAAGATCTATTGTCATGCAATATTTTGATGCTCTGCTTTGCGGTGTTTTTTCGTCATATCTTCTTACGCAGCGAATATTATCTGTCGTTTTGGGCAAGACATAATTATTATGCCAGTTATACCAGTATGCTTTGTGTCGTCCGCTGTGGCTTCGTTGCCCTACACCTTGTTTACTACTTAAACGTTCCTTTTAGCTGGATGCTTCCCCGCGCCCTGATATGCGGTGATCAGCCGGGGCGCTGGTTCGCCGGCATGTGGCCCCTCTCCGCTGATGTGCTTGCCTGCGCTGAGAAACCCAGCCTGCGGCTGTTCTTTCTTGCTTCAGCCCTCAGGTCAATACGTGCGTTGGCAGGTCAATGACCCCCAAACGACGAGCGAACAGAGGCGCGTGATGCAAATATTCCATCATGAAAATACTGGGTCCAAAGATCACATTTATTGGTAAAGCGTTGTTCTGACCATCCAATGACGAAGTAATATGAAAACGTGGCGGGACATTTTACAAAGGCGAGTCGGCATGATGGATGTTACTTTCAATGCGCGTTTTATTCGACAAGTGATGTGAAACAGGGCGCACACATGCATATCAACATATACAGCAAAGCTAGAACCGCAGGTATAAACAAGCCATGAACAAGCACTTGACATTGTGCTCGGTAGACAACAATCATTCAAACATCCGACGTCATCCGATCAACGCGGCAATACTGTCTCACCACAATCGCGGAGTCCCAGGCCGCCCATACCCGGTCCGGCTTCATTGCACGTATCACCAGACAGCGGCGGAAGCTGGCTCCACGGAGCTGCGGATCGACAAGTGCTCAGATTCGGTGCGCGCCTGTGTATTTTTGTTCGTACCCCGACTGGCAAGCGGCAGCACCACATGCTGCGTGCCTGGACAAGACTGCTGACTGGACCTGCTGACGTGCCTGGACAAGACTGCTCGCGTCTGATACTCAGGCGCTGCGTTTCGTTTGGATTGGAGAACGGTATGGATGTCATGTCGTTGTTCCCGTCCACATACTTCGAGTTGATCACAGGCTGCACGCCGCCGCTGCCTCGCCAGTCATCCTGTTAGGCCCGAGAGCCCAGACACCAGCAAACACCGCGCGGAATGTCTGATACGGGTGTGAGTGACAACCCCCACCCCCACACCCCCTGCCCCTCCCGAAAGTCGGCGACCGCAACTGAACTCTGAGTGTACGCTTAAGGTCCGTATAGGCCGCACCAGATAAGACCCAGCCCACGCAGAGCACCCCGACGAGCGTCACAGACGCCACTGCTGCGCCGCCCCTCATTCCCACACGGGCTCAAGGGCAGTGAAAAGCGGCGCTTCGGCCCATCTGGACCGCAGCCCAGCCGGCGGGCTCACCCAGGCCCGTCCCAGGTCGGCGAAGTGTGACGACCAATGCGGCGCAATGGGCGGGATGCGCGAGGGACGGTCTGTGCTGCGCGCGATTCCTCGCGGCGGGGCGTACAACGAGCCCGTAACGGGCGCTGGATGGACGTGACGAAGACAGGCCTGCTGGTGACGCCGCCTTCTGAAGGGCTCAGCCTGATCCGATCGACCGGACCGGCTCGGACCGGGCTTGCCGGGCTGTCGGGGCGGGCTTTTGTTTGGGGGCGCACGGGGGCCGGGGCGGGCCCCAGGCTCGGTCCACCGGCAGAGCTGGACGGGTCGAGTCTGGGTTGCTCAACATAAGTGAGGCGCCAATTCTGGCCCCGTGGTGACGGGTTTGACAGGGCAGGGGGTGCCGGCCGGGGGAGTGTCAGGTGGTGGTCGCCGGCCAGTGGTGGTCGGCGACAGGCGCAGACAACGATAGGGAGCAGGAACATGGAGCCGGAGGAGGGACGTCACACAACGCTATGAGCTGAGTGAAGACCGGTGGCATAGCTTGGACCCGTGCCTGGTGCCAGACTGCGTGACTCGAGACAATCAACACACATCAGACCTCGATATGACTGCATACATTGCAATAGTCTCCCACCGCGACCGTCCGCGCTCCCGAGTCAGATCGCTCACACTCACCTGCTCGCCACCTGCTCACATCTCACCCCAGTCTCACCGAAGGCGCGTGTCATCTCGAATCTATTCTGACGTCACAGGTGTGCCAGCACACAACCTCACTGTCCTCTCTCGCTCGATCTGCCACCTCCGGGCGCTGCTGTGACGTCGTAGGCGCGCGCCAGTCGCCTCTGAGGGGGGTTCGGCCTGAGCAGGGGACCTCAGGCGGAGCCGCCGCCGGCCGGCCGGGGCTCCGCTGTAGTGCCGTCCACAGACCTCGGGCGGAGCCGCCGCCGGGCCGGCCAGGGCTCCGCTATAGCGTCGTCCGCAGACCTCGGGCGGAGCCGCCGCCGGGCCGGCCGGGGCTCCGCTATAGCGCCGTCCGCACGTCGTAAACGATGGTGGGCTCCTGACCGGAGCGGCTCGGGTAATGCGTCCGGGCGCGTGCGATCACCGACGCCGCGTCGTTGCCCATCCGGTTGCGCTGCTTGTGACTGAAGCTCAGCTGGGTGCAGAAACGGCAGGCTTTTATCCCTTCGACAGACCCGACAGATTCCGATTATTACGTTACGGGCACGTTTGAAATGGCTAGAAAGATCAGCAGAATTAACACAGTCTTTAACTTTTAACGCTCCTTAATGAGAAAAAAACACTGTTTATACACATTACATGTTTATAACTTCCTTACGCAATAATGTAGCGTATAAGAGGTGACGGTAGCATAGCCGGGCAAGATCCACCTTTTAAAACAGTACGAAATGATTTTACCGATAGGTTCGTTACTTGCACCACACACAAGACAATGGAGCTTACAGGATGCTGGCTGGCGTCCTGGAGCTTGCCCCTGTTCTTGTTTCTCATCCAAGAGGGCAGGCTGCGAGTGCGCATCTCCTCGTCCAGCAGCATGAGGTCGACACGCTCGGGACTGACCTCGCCTGCTGACACCAATATCTCATGTGTGCAGGCTAGATTTCAGCACGCTCTGGATATCGTTCTCTAGCGGCTAGGCTATCTCTCTGTTGAAAGTAGCAACAGTTCGTCGAACTCTATTGGACTCCTATGGAGGCACTGCAAACACGAACTGCAAACATCAAACATGGCTCCTGGAAAAATGACCGCTAAATCTGCAGGCCCCCATGACGTTGGTCTGGCGGGGCAAAGTTTTCTGGCCTCTGCAAACAATTTCTTTAACTTAAGTTTTAGAAGAAAAGTAACGAAAAGTGCAGTCATTCGGCCGCCAAGTGGTAGCCACATCCAATGCCGTATAACTGAGGAAAGCCCGTCAGTACAGAAGACGAGGCCTTGCGGCTGCTCTTGCGGGACTCGAAACCGAGGGGGCTCGGAACAGTCGTCTGACAGCACCTGGCTGCGTTGCAATCCGCTCGCAGAAGGCGTGCAAATATCCAGTATGTCGTACCCAGAGCACGATAGGACGAAAGCTCTAGCAGGGGGGTCAAGCGCACGCTCTGCTGCAGCGCGACACCGTGCCACCCCGACAACCGGGCGGGGCCGGCGCCGCTGAGTCCAGCCGCGAGGCAGACACCGGGTGGCAAGGGGGAGGGGGGGCTGACCTGCGCTCGGTGCGCACGGCCCCACTTCGGCGCTGCTCGCCGCCGCGTAGAACTGCTGCAGGCGCTTCTGCTTTGACGGCAGCGTGCGGTACGCGGTGGCGTCTTGCGCCTCGGCGGCCACCGCCGGCGGCGCGCCCGGCTGACGGCGCCGCTCCAGCGTTGGACTGTAGCCCGAGATGTAGACGACGTTGTCGGTCCAGCGCTGGCCCTCGTGGCCGACACTCGACTCCAGCGGCGGTGGGATGCGACACTTGCCGCTAGGCGGCGCCACCGGCGGCTGCCGAGGAAGCAAGGGGTCAGACGCAGTGCGACGAAGGCAGTGAGCACGTTTATAACTGGTCCCAATGCGACTGCGAGGCGAGGCGGGACAAAGTGCCACAGTCAGCTATTGGGAAGATTGCGGCAGAACTGTGGGGCTTAGTGGAGAGAAGACTGCAGAACTGGGCCCTGTGGACGGCGATGCAAATACGACGCTTACGAGACTAATTTGGTCCGCGCTGAGTTGACTCGGGCTCGGACTAAGGTCATGCATTCATCATGGCTGCCTAATGGGACGAAACGGCAGGGAAATTCAGCCGCAGAAGGGCACGCATGGTTGGCGAGCACCTGTGGAGTTAGGAGTTGGTGCTAAAAGCATACGGTCCCAAAAACTTTGTCCTACGGACACGCTCGATGTCCTTGTAGCAGCTCGCAGGATGTGCAAGATACTGGAAAGCGACTTTTTATTTTCTGCTACAGCCGCATATGTACACAAACATGCTCTAAAAACGACTAATTGGTTTGGGTTCACGAAAGTGGCCAAATTGAGCTGTCGCTTCGGGTATCAGCAACGACGTTCGATATGAGCTAACAGCGCTGACGCGGAAATCCGGTGCTCCGTCACCTAATATGAACGAAAACTTACATTTGGGCGTGGTACGGCTGGCTGAATTGCCAAATTGTATATGAAATGCACATTATGTGCGGTTATATATAAGCACTGACTGAACTGAAGGACATTACATCGACATATACGCTGGGATGTCGTGGAGAACCTACACTGTACAAAGGTGCGTAATATATGCACGTCGGATATGGACTAACTTACCGTTGCATAACGTTGCACGTTACTTCACGTTGCATGGCTTATTATTGCAAAATCAAAATGTCTATACATTTGTACAAGCATGCCGTTCTTAGTTTTACGCAAGCTTCCATGTTTAAGTGTACCACGAAATAATACAACTAACAAGCTAACAGAACAAACAAGCAACTGCAGGGATGCAGCGACCAACACTGTGATGGCCAAGTAATTTCGTAGGTGTCCAAAGGCGCAGGGTCTTGTATTACTACTTATTTTCATCAGATGATGATATCGATTGATGCATGTCAGCGACGCAACAGCACTTACGCAGGTAGAGGATATCCTGGACAGTGATGATCTAGGGGTAATGTTTCCGTCCTGCAAGGGCGGGCGGAAGGCACACTTTGAGAAGCTCGGTTATAGTGAAATAAGGGCAAACCAAGATGAATGTGACGAGAGGCAGCATCACACTTGTCTCAACTCTGCAACATCAAGCGGCCTTAAAGGACCGCTGCAGTCGACGCGCCCCATTTATTAATATTGGATGTTGAAACTGGCGTAAATCCTAGAAACGAAGTCCTACGGCCTCGGAACCAGCCAATCGCTGGCGCTCGCTTTGAGCAAAACTTATCACGGAACGTGTGCGTTGCAGCAGAAGTAAAGTGTTCCAATGCCACACCGTCCGGCCCACCGACATAGTTCGACTGACTGACTGTATGGCCAGGCCGCTGGGAGGTCTTCTGGGAGTGAAGCCGCCCCACGGTCTGTATGGCCACGCCGCTGGGAGGTCTTCTGGGAGTGAAGCCGCCCCACGGTCTGTATGGCCAGGCCGCTGGGAGGTCTTCTGGGAGTGAAGCCGCCCCACGGTCTGTATGGCCAGGCCGCTGGGAGGTCTTCTGGGAGTGAAGCCGCCCCACGGTCTGTATGGCCAGGCCGCTGGGAGGTCTTCTGGGAGTGAAGCCGCCCCACGGTCTGTATGGCCAGGCCGCTGGGAGGTCTTCTGGAAGTGAAGCCGCCCCACGGTCTGTATGGCCAGGCCGCTGGGAGGTCTTCTGGGAGTGAAGCCGCCCCACGGTCTGTATGGCCGCGCCGCTGGGAGGTCTTCTGGGAGTGAAGCCGCCCCACGGTCTGTATGGCCAGGCCGCTGGGAGGTCTTCTGGGAGTGAAGCCGCCCCACGGTCTGTATGGCCAGGCCGCTGGGAGGTCTTCTGGAAGTGAAGCCGCCCCACGGTCTGTATGGCCAGGCCGCTGGGAGGTCTTCTGGAAGTGAAGCCGCCCCACGGTCTGTATGGCCAGGCCGCTGGGAGGTCTTCTGGAAGTGAAGCCGCCCCACGGTCTGTATGGCCAGGCCGCTGGGAGGTCTTCTGGGAGTGAAGCCGCCCCACGGTACCGAGCCCTGCGTCACGATCACACCACGTCTGCGTCGCTCGAACGCTTACTCTGTGGAGCCAAATACGCCACGGGGACGTGGGGATGTGCCACAAACACATTGGGTACCACACCCAAGAATAGAGCTGGCTAAGAGATTGTGCGGACCCGGAGCTCCGGTCACGTGGAGCCAGACATCGGCGGTCCTGCGCGTCTGCCCCATCATGACCGTGCGGCGTGCAGGGATGCACAGGGCTAAACTGCAACATTGCAGAATCTTAATTGCATTTCTTGTATGAGGCCTGCAGAATGATTGGCAATTCATTTAATGAGGTGCGGAATAGATATCACATTGGGTTGCAGAATGTTCTGATTTCGCAGTCCGATCTGTTACAGTGGACCAGTTTTTCTGGTTAGCGTTGTTTCGGTGCAGATCAAAGGCATTGCAAAGATGATTGCATCGCGAAACCCAGTCGATTTTTCTGGGAAGGAACAAGCACCGCATCGCAATGGTAGTCAATGGGAAATATCTGGGGTTGCATCGCAGTCTTTTTCAAAAGGATGCCACCTATTTCTGAAGATATGGTTATTCAACGTTTGTGCTGCAAGGAATGTTTTACTTCGTAAACAAAATGGGTTGTTTTGGTCCAGCAATGAATAGATGTCCCCAAAAAATCGCAACATGTCTGCTTACATTACTATTTTTGGAAGCTTTTGGTCCTATTTTCCCTGAATAGATGTCGTATAACCCTTCTAAAGTTACGTTTATGATGTAGATTACACACAGGGTTGTTATTAGGCTAGCAGGTGTTTTTTCGTTTCCCCATTGCAATAAAAGGGCATAGCTCACCAGCCTAGGACTACATGTTGAGCCCACATATTTTAATTCTTATTGCTGTTCTATAAGGAAATGCAGTAGATGGCTAACATCCATTCACACACCACATCTGATGCACGCAAGATAGCATTGGTGTCGAATGCTTCACTAAAGTGGGTACGACCAAAGCTGCAGATTTGTGCTGACCAGTTGAGGATATTACACGACCTTTTTTCACTGCGACCAAGCGTTCAGCCCACGCCATCATTACGTGACATTTGTGACGCTGGGCCGGTAGCGTGATCTTTAACGGGAGCTGCATCTGTATGGCACACAGGTTTGCTTGAATGGGCATACTGCTCGCTTGGCCTTCGATGAAAGCATGTGCTCAGATTGCAGCAGTGGGACACTATTCTTAAGCCCAATTTTAGCAATAAAAACTATCATATTTGGGTTCCAATAATGGCATGTTATGCTACTTACCGAGAGAACAAATGCGAGAAAAATCGTTGCAACTTGCAAATATACATGCCTGTATCTTCTCATCTATAAATCGTGATCCTCTCGCACTCGAACCGTGCAAACCTCGCATTAAGTTTCTTACGCTCCAAATGGTGCGGATCAAATGCAGGTACTACAGAACGCAATAATGTATTTCGTGATAGCTGGTAATTAGTGGGGAGCATAATATTTGAAGTGACGCAAACCACGCATCTGCAGAAAACACAACTAAGTTTGCTCCGCTGGCTCCAGTGAGAGCAGTGGTGGCTCCACTATCACTGCGCCACCGCACACACGCGTATGCGGCGGCGCAGTCTCTCTCCTCTCTCTCTCTCTCTCTCTCTCATCTCTAGAAGAGAAAAGGAGAGAGTCTCTCTCTCTCTTCTCCTCTCTCTCTCTCTCTCCTCGAGTAGAAATTTAGACTAATTCTCTCTCCTCTCTTTCTTAGTCTCTCTCTCTCTCTCTCTCCTCTATCTGAGATTCTCTCTCTCTCTCTCTTCTCTCTCTCTTCTCTCTCTCCTCTATCTCTTCTCTCTCTCTCTCTCCTCTCTTCTCCTCTCTCTCTCTCTCTCTCTCTCTCTCTCTCTCTCTCTCTCTCTCTCTCTCGTGACCGAGCTGTCAACCCTCTGGGTACCGAGGGGACGGCACGCTCAGCTGGCCCGATCACCCAGCGCTATTCACCGCCCGTGCCTTTCCCGTATTTACCCGATTTACATGTCCTCCCCTTCCCCCTCCGGAAACAGTCAGACAGTCGGGTCCCCGTGCACATTCCACTGGTTCTGCCCCGCTTCTCCTTCTGTCCCCTCCCCTCGGCGTGGCGAAGGTTGTATCGGGGCAGAGGATTGGAGGAGACAGGACCAGGAGCACCCGGACGGAACAGGAGCAGGGTTCGCAAGGGACTTAATGTGGAATGGTCAACTTGCAATGGTGTTCGGCCGGGGTATCACCCATGCGAAATTTGCACCCGGTATCATTTTTTTGTTTTTTTTTGGGGGGGGGAGTAATAACGCGACGATATCTTATGACATCAATTTCAAATAAATGCTCTTTGGAAGAAGAGCTATCAATCAAAGTTTTAAACAGCCCGTAAGTGTGTGGATGAAGAAAAATCTACCCGTTTTGTTCCGATGCTGCACGCATCACACAATGCAATGAAAAAGGTCGTTGCGTGACGGGCACTGCTGGGAAGTCCGGAGCGTTTGGCTGGGGCATCGGAGTGGGGTTTAGAAGACCTTGTCCACCCGCCCTTGTTTGTTCATTAACGGTTAGGCCCAGGTTTTCTTGACCTCGCATCGCGCGAGTGGAAGGCCCAGACGCATGAGCCCAGGATGTCATACCCATCACGTCGAAAAGTTAAGGGGTGAATATGATGTGTGTCTCTTCGAGGGTATGCCAAAAACAAAACTCAATAGGTAAACCGTCAGCAATCATGGCTCAAGCCTTGCTTTGTTCACAAACTATGGTTTGGGAGCGGGAAGAAGATGGTAAGCATGGATGCCGCAAAATGGTTGATGAAAAATGATTGCGAAGACAGGTTTGGCTAACACCAAGAATACCTTCATTTTCCGGTTGTTTGTAATGAAAGTTAAGAATGCTTATTATTGGTTTTTGTGCTCATGCGTATAGAATATAATTAAACTCTAAAAATGTTCAGAAGTTAATCTGAAGAGCCAGTCTTCTTGAATGGGCTGGCAAGAGATGCTGTGGGCCCGAAAACAGCTGTTGGTAGACAGCCCAGCGCGCTTTTTGACCTCTGCTCTTTACCTGGAACCTTTAAATGGGATTAATGCGGGGCCAAAATGTGCGACTGGGAACAGTACCTACGCTAATCATGTTATGCAATAAACGCAAGACATGGCTCCAACGCATGACAATGGGTGTCCAGTCCCGTATGTGCCCTTCATAACCGTGGGCAATGCAGAGCAGCGGGCGCGGCAAACTGACCTCTGCCCTCATATTCCGGATGAGAGTACAGGCCGCGCCGCGCCATCTATCGATTTACGCGCCAACGAAGCAACTTTGGCAGCACTGTGACGAGCGCCAACAAAGAGATAAGCCATCCGCCTCTCGCCCGGCTGCCATATGGGGCAAAGGGCTGGTGGAACGTAAAAAGTATCCAGGCTGAACGCTTTCCGATTAGCTACACGAACGCCACCGAAGAGGAATTGCCAGCACCAAGGCCACTTGGGTAATGCGTTTACCCAGAGTAATATGATTATGTCGGTCAAGTTAGCGCCGTACTTCTTTCGTAAACTCACCTTCGCTGGCTGCATTACCGCGAGTGCTTGTTTTTGCCCTCGGCTTTGTTTTCCGGTGAGATTATTCGTTGCCAAGCGACGGAGCCTTTATTTGTTTCCGCGGGACCGTTGCCGTTCCGACAGAGGGGCGATGTAACCTCCCGGCACCAAGTCAGCGAGAAGTGAAACGCAGGGCAGGATGTGGCATAACATCCTCTTGTAATTTCCACCTTTCTTTTGTATCACCTGTTTTCACTTTCATCTGTACAACTCTGCAAAAGCTTTTGGCCTTTGATCGAGTGACCACGCAGTTCGGACAGCGCAGCTCATGATTTCTTGTCTGCGCTTCTAGAGATAAGCCATTAGGCACGTGGCCGTGGTCTTCTCGGGTTACAGACGCTGAAGTGAGATGTGGTTCATTGGTTGTAAGGCGGAGGCTACCAGCGTCTAGTTTGTATTTGTGGTTACATCAATGACAAGTGGTTTTAATGATGCAGTAATTGGGGATTTTACCGGGATTCTTTCTACACAACCTCCATAGGTCATGGGCGCCATACCGAACTACAGGGCCACTGAGTGAGAGCTCAGAGCCCCTTCAATATACGTCAAGTTCCATCCCAAACATCAAACGTCCTGGGATCCGCCAGGCCTTCCACCGCAAATGGCCATCTATTCCGGTGGAGACGGGCTCTTAGTGTGGCTACCTGTAATGTGAGTAAGCGAGGCTGGTTTCGAGCTAATAGCTGAGTTGGTAGCCAGCTAGCGGACTTTCCGCCGATCGACGGGCTAGCCGCAGGGGACGGCCGTGGGGTGTTCGGCGAGCTGTTGAAAAATCTGTGGCGTGCTTAAGCTCACTCCATTAGCGCTTCTATGCATATACTGCAATTATAGGATTTAACGATTTCGTATGATTGAAACACATACACGCTACCACTGATCCTATCGGAGAGCCCCTAGACGTAACCGAGAGAAAACTCGAGGCTGGTGGAAAACTAACTGAATGTGTAGGGGAAAAGTGATTATTTCTTTACGTGATGAAGGTAATTTTTCTACATTAACATATTTCAAAGCGTTACGAAATGCTACCCAGGCGATCATGCGGCTGGGCATAGCCGTCACTGGGGTTGATGGACTGGACTGGACTGGACTGGACACTGGACTGCAGAACCTTTCAAGCAGATTTGGCGATTTTCGTGCTATGACCATAGGAACTGGCATCAAAACATAACGGACCTCGGCAATACGCAAGGCGGGGTTACGTCCATCGCCATGGGGATGACCATCACGGAGGGCGGTGAGTTCGAAACTCGCACTCCGGGGACTTTAATGCTGATTGGTCTATTTTTGAGTTTTGATTATGTTAAATTGCGCCGTAACAGAGAAAGACACCAGTGATATTCAGGCGTGGTTATGTTTATGCGAGCAGCCCTCCGGCTACTTCATTGTCTGGCAAGACGATGAGAAGTTTCATAAGGACCTGGCGAACCGCAGGAAATTTGTCGAAATGTTGGACTTTGTTCTTGGAATCTTTGAATGCTAGCTCTTAATTTATCGGTAGATTAAATCTAGAAAATTGACGATGCATGTGTATTCCACACCAGAAGTAAAACGAATTCTGAGACCCGGCATTATGTATTATCAGCATTAGTCATTATCAGTCAGCCATGGTCCTAAAATCTGGATGCCGGCTGGCCGATGGTGCCGGGTCGGTGGCTGGGCGACCTAAAAACCGGCTAGCCGCAACCAGCCTGGGTGTGAGACCGCCTGCTGGGTTCCAGTCAGTCATGGCTGACCAAAACGGCTCTTATTCAGACCGAACCATAACTAAGGCCTATGCAGGCTGCGCGTGGATGTCTGTGAAATCAGCGATTTCGACCATAGGTGCTTGCAACAGTACTGAGATTTCCTCCCGTGGCTGAGTCTGGCGGAGGGTGGACGTTGACAGCTGCTTCTGCTGCGTTCGAGCCCGGCGGTGGGAGACAGGACGCCAGTGGGTTTACCTTATGTGTCTGAGCCATGAGGTGGAAGCCTGTGGTTCCAGTGGCATTTCCTGTCGCGTTTGAGCTAAGCGGGAAGAGCATGTGATGCCAGCATTACATGATGCGTTCAAGCCAGAGAGCATCACTAGGCGATGGGGGCCCGTGATGCCAGCGACATTCCCTGCTGCATTCGAGACATCCGGTGAGAGCCTGCGATGCCAGCGGGATTACCTGCTGTGTTCGAGTCAGACGGTGGACGTCGGCGGCGGCTGGCGGCGGTTGGGGCGATGACGGTTGGCCAGCCCGCTGGTAATATATCGGCAGCCCTGAGCCACGAATGCCCTCCGTGCACAGCTTCAGGCATCCCGAACTGGAAAACGGGAAATTTCTAATGTAACAAGACAGACAAAGCTAAATAACAAAGATCAGGAACCCCGATGTCAGATTCCATAAATGCTAGCCTTGTCACACTGCACTCGATAGATATTTTGCAGGAGCATAGGCCGTTAACAAGCAATATTCTGTGGCATCAAAGGCTCCCGCCACGTGAGGCAACATCAGTCACAGCTCGACTCAGCAGACATGCAAACGTTTGAAGAGAGCCCGGACGAGCTGGTAAAAATGTAATGAAGGCATGGTACAGAACAGCGATTTTGTAAAAACTTCTTAAAAAGAGAAACCTGGTTTCCGCGTCGAACGAACGAAGCTTCGCCATCGGCGGCTGGAGTGCTCTTAGCTGATATTTCACGATTAACGACTTTTTCTGTTCATGCATAGTTTGAATCTAACGCACATTAATGCAAGTTAACTCTTGCGGTTGATTCGTAAGACTGGGTCTAGTGCGTCGACTCTCATTTCGTCGCCTCTGATTAGTTTTCCTTTGTCCGCATGGAGTTCAGTAGGTGGAGGTTAAAGCGCGCCACTTCGTAATGCCTGTGGCAACTTGAGGTAACCTTAGGCTACCCACCGCCAATGTCCTAGCTTTTAAAAACATCATAGAAAAGCTTTCGCAGTTGATCGATTCTTAGATTTGGAGGGCAGCAATCCTTAAAGGTGTCAATATTTTGAACCGCATCCAAATGGATACCAAACGAATCCTCGCAAGGATAGTGGCATGACGGTTGCATACGAATGTGGTGTAAAATCATCTGACCTTTTTATTAGCCCCATCCGAGCTCATTTTGACCTTTGTCCTTTGTTTACCTCGACCAGGAGAGCAGAAAGTGTCAAGCCATGTGAAATAAAAATCGATGCAGCAAGGAGACATTCACACCACATAATCATTACGTAAAAGGGTCGTTACGGACACATATTATACGTCACTGCACAACGAAGCGGGTCCAGGGCACGACGCTTATCGAGGCACTGATGTCTTGCCGACGGGCTTCCACCCTCCGTAGAAGACACTGCAGCTGATCCTGTCACCGGCTGCAATGCCTGCCAAGATCTCAATCATTTGCTCACCCTCCCTGCGAAATCGTGTGTAACGTTTTCACACCCCTCAAAATCAAGATAAAACGGATAGTCGTTGTTGGATTTCAATGCATCAATTGGCTTGATTAGCCAACAGCTAGTTTCGATCTGAATAAGCTGGAATATCAGCCAACAGGACCCATAAACCAGATTAATTAATTCTCTCTGAGTTGACGAATGGCGCACCATCCTCAGACTAATTCGCCGCCGGCATGGAGAAAGGCTCCAAAGCTATTGCTATTTTTTAACCATGGCTGATGTCATCAGACAGAACGCGACTGTCTCGGACCTCCAATAGGTCAAGTGCAGATGCGCCACGGCCAACACTCCTCCAACCACGTTGTTGTTGACAACGCAGTGGGTCTTGGCACGGCTTCAGGTCCTGCCTAGGCGCGTTAGGGGACATCGGGGCGGACAGCCATCCGGATACACTGCCCGCTGACGACCCTAGAACGGACCTGAGGCTGTACCCAAGCCTGCTGCACTACCGAACGGTTAAGAGGCTCCTCGTTGGAACAGCGCTAGCCGTCATGTGCCGCCATTGGACATATGTGAAGCCCCAGATGGTCGAGTTCGTCTGGTTTCGGGTGACGTCAGCGCTAATGAAAAAGCAGCCATAGTTTTGATGTTGTTGCCTTTACCAGCAACGAAGGATTTTGATGGTGCTGCACCGTTCGTCTCCTAAGATACGGAACGGTCGGATCTGGTAGACCTCTCCTGGCTGGTATTCCAGCTCAAGAGGATCGATGTTGGATCCAAGGATCGACCGTCGGCCAGGCATGCCAATCGATGAATTGGTAGCCAACGACGGCTGTCCGTTTCATCGTGATTTTGGGCGGTGTGCAAAAGTTACAAGTGATTTTGCAGAGAAAGGTGTATCGCTTATTAACATCTCCGCAGGCACTTCAACCGGCGGCGGTCGGCTGCGGGGCTTGTGCAGCAGACGGGAGCTCACCGGAAGAAGATCGGCACTTTCAGAAAGCGTGCACTAGATACACATGAGCGGGGACGAACGACCCCAGATGTGTTCATTATAGTGTTTCGATGCATTAGTGATGTACTGCCAAGGCCTGTTTTGCAGACATGTTGTTACTCTACATGACGCGATTATTCTATTTTCTTGGTGAAACAGAGGATAGATTAGTGAAAGATTGGTAAGATGGGGTTAAAGAGGAGTAAAATGGCCTCCCACCACTTAACATCCGATTCATTAAGTAATGCAAGGATTTGTTTGACACCTATACCAACGCTACTAAAATGTTCTCATATTTAAGCATTGCTGCTCCCTCTCCACCCTACCCGCCTTCGTCAATGTAAGGATCGGAAATGTGGAAATGGCATGATAAGAGAGTGGTAAGGGCTTTGTTTTAAGTGCTCAAGTCGATGTTTATGTCTTTATTACGCAATGCCGACGCCCTCAGGTAATAACGGCTCAAAACTACCAAACCTTAAGCTCTTTTTTAGGACCTTCTAGGCACATACGAATTTTTGACAAAGATAGCACCATCGACCTCGTCTTGAATTGGGGAACCAGAACAGCCCTATGGAGCTACGCTTTTCCAAAAGTATTGTTTGGGTAGGCCCTAACACGCATGCTGGGTTTCAGACCCGTTGTGGCCCAAGTTCAAAACCACTGGGTCTTCGATGGCACGTCCCAGTGACCATTCACGCAGTTTTATCTACTGATGAAAATGATTGTGAATGTAATTAGCTATTTTGAGTTCCCTTTGCAAAACGTGCAGCATTATATAATTACCTCCTTTGAATGCAAAGCTGGTTTCAAAGCGCACTAACTTGAGTATTTTGTTTTTGTTTTACTTTATTTGAACGAGGAACCGTTCCATCAATTCCAATATTGACGGTTCCAAGGGGAACGCTCTGCTCAACAGCGTCTCGATCATGCGTCATCGAGCGACAGGCGTGGGGTGGCCGGCTGCGCCGGAACGGCCGCCACCGCCGGCGGCCAGCCAGCGGCGCCAGGCCCAGCTGGCGTCCACACCCAGCGCGCGCGTCGCAGCTCGTCCGCCCAGCTCGGGCCAGCCCGTGTCTCCAGAGGCCGCGTCAGGCCGGAGGACACCGTTTCACCATTTGGCGACAACGTGCGCCATCGCGCGGACGCGTGAAATGGCCTCCGGCGGGACGCAGCGCTGATGCAATATCGGCTGGCCCGGACGCAAAGAGCTCTCCATTTGGACGCAAAAAGGGCGGAGGCGGCTCGGCGATGTGTGGACAGGTGCGTCCGCGAGCGCTAGCCGGCGGAGCGTCGACACGCGCACAATCCCTCCCAGCACGGCGAGCGTCATCCAGTCATTTGATCGACAGAGGGAAAGACGCGGGAAGTGTCCGCCGCCGCTGAATAGCTCTGTTCTCCACACTGGATGTCATCACACCCCGCCCTCGCACTGTCGTGTCTCATGTTCACATGGTCAGCAGGCCTATTGCGAGCTCGTGCTGGTGGACTGACAAGGGGGAGCCGAGCCGGCGCGGTCATCCGGTAAAGTGGTCGGGACCCAGATATTTTACGAGGCAAACTTGGGCACCCCACATAAACCCTATGAGACGAGAGATAACACAAGTAAAACCGTAATGGCAGATCTGACCTGCATACGGTTACGGTTAATACTTAATCTTTGTTCGTGAACTATCGTGGTATACGCGACCAAAAACTGCAACGTCTGGCGCACACATGACCTGACATTGGCGACGTCGACCGTGTGGCTCACCCCGGACGGGTCACCGGTAGACGACAATACATGAGCGCAAGCACCAAGCAACACCTTGCGCAGTTTTGCGAGCGCCAAATCATGTCGTGTGACAGTGGATGGCCTACAATTTTCGCCGGATCTTCAGCCCTCTAGAGTATAGGGTTACTGTACTCAACGGGGACACACTGCGTAATGAAACACGCGATCAAAGGATGATATGAACAGTCCGGCGCTTGCAGGGATTCAGTTCAGCCTCCAGTTCCGGTGATGTTGAAAAAAGGAACAATGAATCATAAGCAAGTGCACGTTTTGTAGAAGAGCAGGGAGGATGTGTTGACGTGCTGCGCATGGTCGTGACGTGACCGTGCGGTGCAGACTTTTGCCTGTTTTCGTCCCAGAAATACGACTGCTAAGATGGGAATAGAGCTCTCTTGCTGATGTGTCTGTGGCCCAGGTTGCTGCGCCTGTCACTCGCTGCGTGACGAAACCAGCGGAGCAACCAGCGAACTAGCGACAGCATTTTCTCCAGATTCAATGGCTGTTTAAAATCTAACTGCTTCCGGGCACCAGCTTAACAAGTAACACCCGAATTGATGAGACTCGTTTACTTTTGCTTGACGGTCCATTGGCTGCCTTTTAATCCATTTCCGTATCCGTCATTTGTCAGTTAAGCGCATTCATTTTTATCTATTTTGAGACACTCCGTAATATCGTTAGATTTCCTGGCCGTGTTCAGCCCATTAGAGTTCTGGCTAGTGAAGTTATTTTAGAAACTCATTCTAAGTGGTTTTACTGCAACATTACGGAATCTTATTGCACATACACTGACCCAACCACCCAAACTCGATTCCAAAGCGCGTCGGATGAATGCTTCCGGTCTTTTTACAGACAGACCCACATCCGGAAATATCTCTGTCGTGTCGTACAATGCTACGACACGGCCGGTCGTGTCCGACCGATTTTTTGTCGATTTGTCATGACCACAGCGCCAGCCAAACCTTCCATGCCAGTCAAGTAAAAATGCCGATTTGGCCGTTCATGCGCACTTTCAGGAACTCTGATCCAGTATCCACTCTCCACTGTCCAGTGATTGCGAGCCATTCCTGAGAGAGTAGGGAGGTGACAGCCTTGTAAAGTTGTTTAAGTATCTGCCAAACTTGGACGTCCATATGACCGAATGGCATTTGGGAGT